AGACTTCTGTACCCCATTTCCTGTATTTCTTATTTCCCAGTTGCATGTGAAAACTTTTTTTTAAACATATGTTTTTAAAACTTTAGGTTCCAAATTTTCTCCTTTCCTCCCTCCCCACCCACCCTCATTGAAAAGGCAAGCAACTCAATATAGGTTGTACATGTACAGTTATGCAGAACACTTCCATAGTAGACATGTTGTGAAAAACTAACTCTATTTCCCTTAATCCTATCCTGCCCTCCCATTTATTCTATTCTTTCTTTTGACCTGTCCCTCCTCAGAACTATTTCCTTCTGATTACTTCCTTTCCTAATCTGCCCTCCTCTCTATGCTTCCCCTGCTCTCTTGTCCCCTTCTCCCCCTATTTTCCTGTAGGGTAAGACAGATTTCCATACCCAATTGAATGTGTATGTTATTCCCTCCTTAAGCCAAATCCTGTGAGAATAAGATTCACTCATTCCCTCTGACCTTCCCCCATTTCCCCTCCACTGTAAGAGACTTTTTTTTCTGGTTGTTTTTTTTTTTTTGTGAGATAATTTACCCCATTCTACATCTCCCTTTCTTCTTCTCCAAGTATAATCTTCCCTCATCCCTTAATTTTATTCTCCAGATATGACCCCTTAATCTTCAACTCACCCTGTGCCCTCTATCTATCTATCTATCTATACATACATATAATTTTTTCCTCCAACTACCCTAATACTGACAAAGGTCTCATGAGTTATAAATATCATCTTTCCATGCAGGAATGTAAACAGTTCAATCTTAATAAGTCTCTTATGATTTCTCTTTCCTGTTTACCTCTTCATGTTCCACTTGAGTCCTGTATTTGAAAGTCAAATTTTCTATTTAGCTCTGGTCTTTTCATCAGGAATGCTTGAAAGTCCTCTATTTCACTGAATGACCATTTTTTCCCCTGAAGGATTATACTCAGTTTTGCTGGGTAGGTGATTCTTGGTTGTAATCCTATCTCCTTTGCCCTCTGGAATATTATATTCCATGCCCTGCGGTCCTTTAATGTAGAAGCTGCTAAATCTTGTGTTATCCTGATTGTGTTTCCACAGTACTTGAATTGTTTCCTTCTGGCAGCTTGTAATATTTTCTCCTTGACCTGGGAACTCTGGAATTTGGCTATAATATTCCTAGGAGTTTTCCTTTGGGGATCTCTTTCAGGAGGAGATCTGTGGATTCTTTCAATTTCTATTTTGCCCTCTGGTTCTAAATATCAGGGCAGTTTTCCTTGATAATTTCTTGAAAGATGATGTCTAGGCTCTTTTTTTTATCATGGCTTTCAGATAGTCCAATAATTTTTAAATTCTCTCTCCTGGATCTATTTTCCAGGTCAGTTGTTTTTCCAATGAGATATTTCACATTGTTTTCTAATTTTTCATTCTTTTGGATTTGTTTTACAGTGTCTTGATTTCTCATAAAGTCACTAGCTTCCAATTGCTCTGTTCTAATTTTTAAGGGAGTATTTTCTTCAGTAATCTTTTGGACTTCCTTTTCCATTTGGCCAATTTTGCTTTTTGGCATTTTTCTCCTCATTGGCTTTTTGGACCTCTTTTGCCATTTGGGTTAGGCTATTTTTTTAAGGTGTTATTTTCTTCAGTATTTTTTTGGCTCTCCTTTAGCAAGCTGTTGACTTGTTTTTCATGATTTTCTTGCATCACTCTCATTTCTCTTCCCAGTTTTTCCTCTGCTTCCCTTACTTGCTTCTCAAAATCCCTTTTGAGCTGTTCCAAGGCCTGGGACTGATTCATATTTTTCTTGGAGGCTTTGGATGTAGGAGCTTTGACTTTGTTGTCTTCTTCTGGTTGTATATTTTGATCTTCTTTGTCACCAAAGTAAGATAATATCATCTGACTCTTTTTGCTCTGCTTGCTCATGATCCCGGCCAATTACGTACTCCTTTCTGCCCTGTAACTGCGAGGAGGGGTTCCTCTCCACCGCCACGGCAAGCTCCACCACGGCAGACCTCCTCCTTGCCCCAGCACCACTGCCCAGAACTGTGACCCGGATCCAAACATGGGCAAAGCAAGAGATTTCTGCCTCAGCACTGGCAAAGAGATCCCTGCAATCCCTCCCTGATCAGCCACTGGATTCCCCCTCAGTCTGTGGGCTGGAAGTTTGGGAAGCAGCTGGCCCCCCCCACCCCCCAGGGCCACGCTCTTGGGGAATGGAGCTGAAACCCCGTGTTCCTTTCTCAGCACCGACAGAAACAGACTTTTCCCACTGACCTTCTAAGTTGTCTTTGGCATTAGTGGATTGAGGAGTCTGGAAACCTCCATAGCTGTCTGAGCGTGATACACCTTTCTGATCAATCATCCAGGTTGTCTTGGGCTGGAAATTTGTTTCACTCTGTTTTTTGTGGGTTCTGCTGCTTCAGAATTTGCTTAGAGCCATTTTTTTAATGAGTATTTGGAGGGTTTTGGGGGACAGCTCAAGCAAGTCACTGCTTTCACTCTGCCATCTTGGCTCCGCCTCCTAAACTTAACTCTTGTTAAATACTTTCTTGTTTTGCTAGCAATTCTTATTAAATAAGGAGTTCATCCCCAAGTAATTTTATGTTCATAGGCATATTGGATACTCACTTGTGGAATTTACCTATTTGTTATCCAAACTTATCTAGTCTCTTCTGGGCTATTTTTTCCGTTTTTTAGCCAGAATCAAATAGTTTGGTAACTGTTTCTAGGAAAATTTGATGTTTGGAAGTGCTGTCCCTCCTTTATTGTCTGCTTTTAAAAGTTGTCATTTCCCTTGAGATTCTAAATCTTTTACTCCTCCACATGAGTTTTGCAGGTATCTCAGATATGATGTGAATCGTCTTGGCCTTTGAAATTCTCAGCCTTTCTCACAATCTGCATTCTTTCATCCCATCACCACATTGCCCCAGCACAGTATCTAAAGACCTGGCTTCCTCTTGAATGGTGGCCCAGCTCACTACAGGGATATGCGTTATTGGGTTTGATTATGAACACACGAGTCACGGAATTCCCCCGTCTGCGGCCTTGACGCCATCAATTACAGCCGTCACGAGAGCCTGTTTTCTTTTGTCAGGTGTTCGTAAGATTCATCGTAAGTTGAAACTAACAGGACTCTGAAGGGATGAGGCTCATAATGTTTATATGTTCAAGGGAATGTTTTTCTTCAGGATATTTACTTCCAGAGGCTGCAGGCTTGTTCAGATGATGCTGATCTCAACGGTCTCTGGGAGCTCTGTTAGGCCACTACCTTGTCTTTGTCCTGACTTTCCTCTGTGTTTTTTCTAATTCATCACTGCCCCTCTGCTGAGCCCCCAGCCTCAAACTGTGCTGGTACTGTCCTGGAACTGAATGGGGAATTACACGTGAGTTGGAGGCAGTAGTTGTGGGAGAGTTTCCAGAGCAAGTGAAGACACATTCCCGCTTGTAGGATCGCAGAGGGGTGCATCAGGAGCTGGACAGGATCTCCAAATGCCTTCAGTCTGTAGGAGAGTCCATTGTTATAAAAATCTTTGTGGCTTTTTTCCCCATCCATTTATTGTTCTCCCAGTATCGGCCTTAAATACTCTCCAGATGATTTTACTTATTTGGACTCAGCTTTTTTCAGTGTTTTGTGTGTGTGTGTGTGTGTGTGTGTGTGTGTGTGTGTGTGTGTGTGTGTGTGTGAGACAGCGCTTATGACTTCTCATCTTCCTTTTTTGGAAGGTCCTACAAACCGGTTAGTACTCAATGCTATAGCACTCTACTTGGCAGGGATCCAGTGTTGAATAACTGAGGTTGTTTCTGTACTCTCATTTTTACCCCTTTTCCTTATTTGCTATCAGCAGATTACTTGGGCCAAGGTAGAGTTGCCTGAGTTGTATGTTTTGTTTTTTTTTTAAGGCGTGAGTTGTATAATGTGTCTTCAAATGTTAATTCTTTTAGTTTAATATTGATTTTGATCTTTGTTCTGGCAGTCAGTGGTCTGACTATGTGCCTGAACCATCGCCATTCAGAGAGAAACTTTTGTCCCCTCTTTTGTCAGTGCTTATTCATTTCTCTTTCACAACATCACAGAAGGCGTTATTAATGGTTCATTGTCAGCATGCCACGAGGTCTCCATTGGTGTCTTCCAGGGATCTGTCCTTGTCCCAGGGCTGTTTAATGTTGTTATCAATGACTTGAATTAAGGAAAAGATGGTAATGCTCATCAGATTTTTAGATGATACAAGGATGGGAGGGATGCGAGTCAGAGTCTAAGAGAGTATTAACAGGCTAGGGTATTGGGCTGAATCTAATGAGATCTCCCTCCTCCTCTTCCTCCTCCCTTTCACTCTCTTAGCTGGGTATAGTTTCCAGAGGAGGGCAGCTGTGATGGATGGAGGAGGTTCTTAAGTCTATGCCATGTGAGGATTGCTTGAAGGAACTGAGTCTATTTAGCTTAGAAAAAAGAAGACCCAGTGGGATTGTTAATGAGAGCTGTGTCTAAGTGTTTGAAGGGCCATCCTAAAGAGGAGGTTCTGTTTGGCTCTGTTCGGCCTCAGGTTCAGGAGCAAGAGGTGCAGGCTGCAAAGGGGCAGATTGAGGGCTGTCACCAGGAGAAGCCTAATAGCCATCTCTAGAGCCGTCTAGGAGCCTGATGGGCTGCCCAGAGAGGCTGAAAATTTCCTCGCTGCAGCGGCTGACCAGCGGCGAAACAAACCGCCCTGGCTTTTGTTTTTGCTATTGATGTTATTGTGCTGATAGTTATGCTAGTACTGAACCCCTCTGTTTTTGCAGGGCTATTACCTTCTTAATTATACTTGGCTTAAACTAATATCAAAATTACTTTGATTTCCATAATCGTATATCAACTGATGGCGAGGGAATGTAACCCCAGTAAATTCTGCGTGATATAGGAAGAAGTTTGGAATTAAAGATTTGCTCAGCATAATTCAGAATTGACTATGTCTATTAAATCATGTCAGATAGAAGAATCATATCATAACAATGTGTTAATTTCATAAATAAAGAATTTCTGAAATACAACTTCTTGTTCAGGGAAATTTCACCTGATCTCGAAATTAGGAAGAGTGGAAAAAAGTGTAGAAGCTCATTGTGGAGCCGTACTTGCAGGGAGATGGAATTATGAAGGAACAGCATTGATTACAGGTAAGTTGTCTCACCCAAATATATGTATTTTCAAAAATAAGTTTTATTTAATTTTTTTTTGTCTCTCCATTAAGTAATTTCTAGAAGTGCCCTTCGCACCGGAATGACCCCTTCCTTTTAATGACAACCCTAAGCCCCAAAACAATGAAGTAAAGTCATAACAGTCATGTTGACAATAGATAAAAAGAGAAAAGAGAAGAAGTCATCTTTGTGCACTTAATTCAGTATATTACTGTAGGGATTAATTGTTTCCTTATTTGTGTTTTAAAGTCTTTTCTTCTAATGTGTGCTACTGATTTTTTTATTATTTAGAGATTAATTTGTGACTATTGTAAATGTTCTTTTAATGTGTATTTATTTAGACTTATTCTGAGATTTTTTTTTAATGAATGAAAGTCTAGTTATGAAATTTAGAATAGAGATTGCACCTGAACCCTCAAAACAGTTGTGGTTGGCACCTTCCCTACAACTCATAGTCTTAAGATAGTTGCCTAGAACACTGAGAAAGTGCCTTGCTTGTGGTCACAAAATGAAATATCTATTATGAAATGTATTTTAGATAAAATGCATTTTTAAATTCTTTTTAAAGAAATTCTGCAAAAGCAATGGTGCCTGAATTTTAGAAAAGGAATCATTCATTTTTGTAGCATCTTTGATTAATGTGTTTATTTAAGACTACCAAAATTTTCTTTTAAAAATTGGAGATTATCAGTAACTGAATCATAATTTTTTACAGTCGGTGAAGATGGACAAGTGAAAATTTGGTCAAAGAGTGGGATGTTAAGATCTATTTTAGCTCAGCAGGGTAAGTTTTACAACCAGCCAACCATCTTATTTTTTAAATTGTACAGTAGAAAAGTTCTATAAGAATTTTAACAGAAGGCAACAATCTTGTACATTAACAGCTTAGTTTGATCTGATAAAAAAAAAACCCTTAATTCTTTTTTTCATTCCCTTTATAATCTACCCCCCAGTTTCCTACCAGCTTCATTCAAATGCCATGAGCATCTATAATTTTTGCTTGAAACTTACAAGTCCTGTTAGAAGTCTTTTTGTGAAATGATTCTGCAGAAGTTTTTGAAGTTCAATGGTCAAAAATGGTTAGGCATAGTAAAAACATTGTAGGTAAGATTCAGAGTATGTCTTACTTTGCAAAATTTAAGTGACCTTCATCCTGTCTCATTTTTTATGAACTTTTGATTATCCACAGTGACGTGTTGATCCAAAATAATGGGTAATGGAAAAAACCAGGTAGAGTTGCTTCTTAATTACAACTACCTGTGAAAGGAAGCAGTAATACAGAGATCATGAAACAGCAATAGCGACAATCCCAAAGTCATAGAGTTATCTCCAGAAGACGTTGTTTTAGTTGCTTATTTGCTGCCCTTTGTTTGACTTAGAAAATGTAAGCCAATTCTGATACTAACCTGAGCACAGAGTGCGTGAGCGGGGGGCTTCCCAGACAATCGAGATCTTGACACAACTGGTCCATGGGTTGTTCAGAAATCCGGGCTGTGCAGGCGGGCGGGCAGGCAGGCATGTTCTTCAGCAGCATCACTGAGTTAGTTCGCAAGTACAGTCAGCAGTTCCTAGGGTTCCTTTGCTGGATGCTGTCGGCAAGGCCCTGCCACTCTGGCTCTGCGTGCTGCACACTTCCTGCCTTTGCCTCTCTCCCCAGTGATTGTGTGGCCAGGTCACTCGCCGGCCTGCACAGCACAGGTTTCTGAATGCTAGCTGGACCAGCTGTGGATCACATCCAGTAGCTTATGCCCCTGTCACATTCATTAGACTCTCTGGAAGGTAAAGACCCCTTGGGACTCAACAGATAGGACCCATTCACCTTGATTTAAACCATGTGAACAGTTCACATCAGTGCTGTGGAATGTTGGCAGGTGCCCAGCTCCGACCACACACTGAGTGGCTTTCGTTCTTCATCTGTGGGTTGGAGACTCCTGATTCAAATTCTCCTCTCTGTTTAGAAAACCTTCTTAGGGCAGCTGCGCTCAGCTCATGGGCTCTAGAGCTCAGAATTGTTATGGGGCTAACCCTCAAGACTGGAAACATCCATTCTCAGGATCTCTAGCCTCTCCTGTGTGCTCAGAAAAGAAAGGAGGCAGGAAGAGGCATCCAGGAACTAGAGGCTGAGCAGCTTTGGGCTTAGGCTTGCCTAGACAGGCATGGGCTGTTAGCCATGCACTCCCTTTGTGAGCTGCCTTTCTTGGATCCCAGGGTTGGAGGAATGGGGGCAAAAAGATCTCCTCCCCACACCTTTAAGTGCCCTCCAGTCTGGAGTGGACAGGGGGTGACCCTCTCCAAGAGAAAGAGAGTGTTACAAAGAAAAAGGGCAAGAGGAGTAGACATTTCACTGCTGGCTCTTACAGACCACACGGAGGGGTGTCAGCTGTCCCTTCTGAGCTGCAGACATTGAATCATCAGGACGCCACCCTCGGCCCTGGCACCACCTGGGGGCACACAGCTGGCTCCATGGGAAGGGTTCTCCTTGCTAGTGGGACACTCCTTATAGTTGGGGTGCTTCCTGAAGTGGTCAGGAGCTCCCTGATCCATAGTGCCCCTATAGGAACAAAATCCTGGGCTAAATTGGGGGTTTTCTTTAATAATAGTGAATAGGCAGCTTGGTATTTCGCATCTAGGATGCTGAAATCTTCCAGGTGCTGTGTGTGTACCTGGATTGTGTTTGGCTTTTAAAGCCCTTCACAAGCTGGCTGTTTTTCCCCCTCTCTAGCCCTCGTCTGCTTTCCTCCCCTGCGCCTTCCCACAGTTCCTCACACACCACACCCTGTCTCTCTACTGTGCTTTTTCACTGGCTGTACCCTGACCTGGAATGATCTTTTTGCTTCTTTCTGCCTCCTGGCTTCCCTTGCTTAAATCCCACCCACTATGGGAGGCCTTTCCTGGTCCCTTCTCAATATCAGTGGCTCCAAAGTCACCTCCGGTTTGTCTTGCATGTATTTTGCACATACACAATTGTTTGCATATTGTCTACACCATTAGAATATAAGCTTCTTAAAGGCAGGGACTGTTTTGCCTTTCTCCTTTTCTCTGGGGCTTTTCCCAGTGCCTTGAACGTGTTTATCATTTAATATGTGCTTGTAGACTGACTGATTTGTGGGCAGAATTAACGTGGCTCACTTCTTTGGCCTTCCCATAGTACCTTGTGCTAAGTGTTCAAGAAATATTTGTTGCTTTGTTATTCTATTTAAATGCTCTAGAAAAGTGATTTTCCAATTTTTTGCTTTGGCAAACCATTCCCTTGAAATGCAACCTTCCCTGTGGAAAGCATGTAGTAAGTAAAACCTTTGAGACTTGGTCACTGTGGATACTCGGAGACTGAAGGTTCTGTTGCCAGTCCCTCGGCCAGCATGTGTTTTGCACCCTTTGCACTTTCTTCCGCTGTGTGATTCTTGTCCATGCTTTTGTAGTGAATCCTACCTAGAAATTTTTAATGATTGCAAAAGTGCTGTAGCCAGTCTGTGGAATTCCTTTGCTGTGGCCTTCTTGTGTCAGGGAGCTGACTGGTTTCTCGAAGGACAAGAGCATGCCAGTGATGCACAAGTTTTGGCATATCCCGCCATTCTGGAAAGGGATCAGTCATGGGCCTAGTCATTGACTCACTGTGTTCTGGCCAAGGACGAATGTATCTTGGCTCGGGCAGAGTCACGTGACCAGGCTGTCTGCAGTGTGATGAATTTACGGCCCACAGACGACTCTTGAGGTAACCAGGGGCTGCTAAGTGTTGATAAAGAGAGCGTTCACATGAACAAAATCAGATATCCCTGAAATATTGAAGCAGCTGTCACTAGGGATGCAAAAGCTGATGAAAAAGATAATTCAGAACCATTTTCATTTTCTTTTAGGGTATTTGCTTCAGCTCATCCCATTTTTTGAATGACACATTCAGTAGCCTTAATTCTTTTATTTGTATAGTCCTTCAGCTGTACCTTGACCTCCAGCCATAACCCCTGCTTTCTTTCCCAGGCTGTCATCACTGCTGCTCTCACTGTACTCTCCTTGCTTCCTTCCAGATCTGGGCTAGCTCCGGGCTATCCTCTGGCCTCGCCTCCTTTGCCCCCTTGTCCCTTTGCTGCTCATGCCTGGCTGCGTCCCACCCACTCTCTGCTCCTCTTATCTCCCCCACTGGATTGTGAGCTCCTGGAGGGCAGGCTCTGGTTTTTTTTTTTTTTTCTTTAGTATCCCCAGCACTTAGGTACTTAATAAGTGTTTATTGAACGACTGACTCTTTAGTTGTATTGACCAGCAGCTGAATGGCATGGGTTGGGGGTGGAGTGGGGGGAGTCACAAACAGCTTACTGACTCTACTAGGGATTTCTGTTCTCCAGTCTCCCCAGGCCTGCAGGGCAACCCCAACCCAGTGGATTTTCTATTCCTATTCCTTCTCTTCCTCCCTAATTGGTGCTCCATGCCACCTTTCCTTGAGCCCTTCATGCCACCCATCCCCCATCTGCCCAGTCAGCTCCTCATGACCTTTCCAAACCATGCAGCCCACACTCTGGCCATCCTTGTCCTCTCTTCCTGGGGCTCTGCCCCTGGAACCATCCTGGGCTCCCATGGGTGAGCTTTCTTCTAACTTACCTGGCCTAGAACTAGGCCTCCATGGCCTTTGTAGCCACCATTGCCAAGCCATGCTGCCTTTACCCCCCCCCATGAGAGTGTAAGCGCCTTGAAGACAGGCATTATGATGTTTCCATCACCCGGGTGTCTGGCTGCCCGTGTCCCCCAATCTCCTGTCCTCTTCGTATGGATCCTGCACATGCCGTTTGTGTTCATCTTGTCTCTTCTCTAGCCCTTAATCAGTGGAGATGGAAGGAATGAACAGCCTCCTCTTGGTCACGTGGCCCAGGCCAGCCCATCTCTGATGGTCTTCCACATGAACCGAATGCTTGCATTGTGCATTCCCTCTCCACCACCCGATGTGGCTCATTGACCATTGCACCCCTTCAGTTTCTTGTGAACTATGGTAGAATTGCCACCTTAGAACACAAGGGGCAGTGGGGCACAGTGGTTCAAGCAAAGGCTCTGGGGTCCAAGGACCTAGCCTCAGATCCTACCCCTGACACTCCCTACCTGGGTAACCTTGGGTAGGGACTCTTTGGGCCTCAGTTTTGTCATCTGTAAAACGGAAGGATTGGAATAGATGGCTGTGTCTGAGGTCCCTTCTGGCACTAGGTCTGTGATCTTTGCTGTCCTTGAAGAAAGACACAGGCACAGAGACCTTACCATATGATCATGCTGTTTGTCATCTGAGCTTGGGCTGCTTCTGGAGAGGGAGTCCCGGCTCTCAGTGGGCTGAGAGTGCCACACGGGCTTGAATGTTGCTCTAAAGCAGTGACCTCTTGACCACAGTGATCTGACCTTCTCACCAGGGCAGCTTTTTTATGTTTGCCTATGTGTTCAGTCAGGTTTCTCTGTGATGAGTCCAGTCTACTTGGAGCAGAGTTTCCCTGTGAGGAAAAGGAAAATCAGGAGGTGATTTTTTTTTTTTACTGATTAATTGTTGCTAAAGGATTTCAATCTTGTTCTAAAAAGGTTCTTTTCATAATTAACTTTGCAGTCACAAAAGTAAGACAGTTTATTTCACGTGCTTAGAGATTTCAGTTGCTGTCATGCCTACGTCTACTGGATGGCAAACTCTTTGAATTCAAGGACGAGGGGCCGTGTCCTAATAGTTTTCTTCTTAAGTTTGTTGATAAGTGTCGTGTAACACAGGTAATAATGAAGATATCTCCCAACACTGAGTATGACATTGCAGCCAGACTCTTTTTAACC